ACAAAATGTTTCCACAGTTCTGCCCGTGTAATCAGTCCTGAAAACCCCTAATTTTGCTCCGTGTGCTGTGTAGGGTTCGCTGCGATGCCTGCGTGCCGTGTCGCAACCGCGGATGTGAGCAAGTATGCGTGAGGCAACTAATTTATACTCTGTAATTTGTTTCAGAAATCCAACATGGTGGAAGCGGAGGACATTGATGGAAAAGAACCTAACTCTGCTCACGGCAGTGACGATGTTTATTATCTTGATGTTGGCCGTCGCGCTGATGACAACGCTGCTCATCACTCGCAATGCAGGAGGTCAGTATTGGACTCTTGATAATTATCAGTTTGCCGAAATTCTTAATTTTTTTTAAAAGAATGAAACTGTTCCGTTAGATCTGTGGGGATGGATCAATTTCCCTGTTTTCACGATAAAAATGATTGAAAATTGAAACGGACCGATCTATCGATAGCGCTGGGTGCAAAAACGGCATTTCTTGGTCGTGGTGTTTCGAAATCTCCGCTAATGTTTTATCCATTATGATCAAAGCAAATGAATATGTAATGCGTTGTAACTTTTACAGAATATTTTTTCTGATTTTACAATGCTCAAAACGTAAAATTTCAGAAAATTTACCTATAGGTTTCCTCTCTAAAATATAAATTGCCCTGAAACACCGCAACCGAGAAATGCCTTTTCTGCACCCAACGCTTCATTTTCCTAGCAGCGCACGAGAAAAGTCGCCAAAATAGTCGATTTATATAGGTACTTGTATCTTTATCCGTCCTTTTACTCAGCTGATAGTTCACAATGGATTTTTCTTACAATGGCTAATCGAGGTTAAAATTTCGAATCATCCAAATCGTCCCCTCCGTTGGAGCTGTTCATATTTGCAACTTTATTACCTACTTTCATACTGAAAGCATATGGACCACCGCCGCGATGAGCACGCTTCGGAATTGTAAATTGGAGCGTTTTCCACGATTCTGTATCTCTCTTGTTTTTTGAGTAAACGCTATCTTACGTTCACCATTCTCAATCACGTCAGCTATCCAAAAAACTAGCATTCTCATCACAGATTTTGCTGTACACTTCTACGGTGGATTATTAATTTTCGATACGAAAAAAACCTGATTTGGATTCTTTTTTCATGCGTGGCCGCTATTTTAAAGAATCTAAGAAAAGGTCTTCTCAAGCCATTTTTTTTTAAGATTGCGTCGAACGCTCACCAATTAGGTGTCTGGAAACTTCAAATTCGGAGTAAGCGACCCAAAACAGGGCATGTTATAAAAAAAAAAAAAAAAAAATGTAGCAGTGTACCCGAAATTCCAGCTAGCTTCACCAAGCTCCTGGACTACAGCCATAGAAGTGATAAGACTCACGTTTCTGCGAATTGTCGCTTTCACGCGCCTCGAGGCGCAAAATCAAGCTGCATTAAATTTGTAATCGGTCAATAAGAACCATAATCTCTCTAATAGGAGGCTTAGTTTGACACACTTGCTTGGCAACCCTCCAATCATCCGTCGATTATGCGAGTCAGTGCGCCCATTAGAAAACGTCGAATTTCCAGAAATTCATTTTGCCCTTCAACATTCCTTTTGCCTTTAAACATTCTATTAGATATTAATTTTGCCATGCCAACATAAGTACTGGAAGTAGAAGAAAACTTGGGTTTACCGTATTGCTTTTAATTTTTAATATCTACTCTACGCGTTTGGCGGGCCAACATTATGTCAAAATTATAACATGATTGAAGTCCCGATAGGCGTTTAAAAAACAAGGGAAAGCATTGGATCGATTCATGAGACGCCATAAAATCGAGCGAAGGTTAAAGTCAATTTTCTCCGAAGCTCTTTCTCACTTTAAACAGAGCTCATCCATACTGCCGTGCGAGGGAAAAACGCCGTATGCACATTTGAATGTTGCCACATTTCCAGCGATAAAATATTATTTTTTTAGTATAGATATGAGTATTTTTCCCTGAAAGTTTTAGATAATTCAGATCAAATTGCAAATGAAACTCTGTAAAAAACTGAAAGGAAAATTTTCACAGGTTTTCCGGAAAATTCGTGTTTTATTGAAGGAAAATTGAAACTTCTGATGGCTCATACGGTGTTCTCCCTTAGCATGGCAGCATAGGAGGGTAGTGTTCAGGGACCACCAACATGTCTCTTGCTGCGTGGTGTGCTGACATGCATCTATTTCATCGGATAGTTCACTTCCTTTTCATCCACATTCCGTACTTATGCCAATGATTATTCAGCTTCTATCGTTTCATTGATTCTGATCGTACAATGTGACTTATTACGAAACGAAATCGAAAATCTAGGAATACAGTACGATTACTAGTGTAAAATGTGATGCAGCTCGAATTTTGTGCCTCCAGCCAAAAGAGAATAATTCACAAGAATAAAAATCTTGAACTGAAAGTTGGTTGTATTTTGGAGGGAAATATTCCATTAAAGAGGTGCCTGTCCATGCGTCATGGATTTGATATTTGAATAAATATTTACATGTTAAAACTTATCATTTGACTGTCCCGGTTCAACACTCTGATAAAGGAGTGATAGTGAAAATGATTGACAGGTGACACGCTGACACGGTCAATGTGACATCAAGAGTGCAAAAATTATTGTTCTAGAATTTTGAGGACAAAATTGAAGTAAACATTGCAATAGAAATAGACATTTCGAAATTGTATCAACATAATGTTGTGGAAATTTGGTAAAATAATATTTGTACCCACAATCCACACCAAACATATGTATTAACCTGAGAACTTTTAAACCCTACCAAAAATCTAAGGTTCAGAGTGCTTGTTAGGATCACAGCAAAATTCGCTTTTCCCCTTCTTTTATGGTAAGTCAAAAAAATTTCATCTGAAAACATCTCAAATTCATCTTGGAAAGTTGCAACGCTTCAGTCGGATCTCTGCACAAAAAATCTCATTTGTCCTTAACACAATTGCTCACGTTGTTTAATCGTAGAAAAAGACCAAGATCCGTAAAAAAAATTGTTGACTAAGTAGTTTGATTGCACATTTTATCGTCTTATGCGAATTGACGTTTGACACCTTTTAATAGGCGAAATGTTTATGATGGATTGTTTAATTCCAGAGATCCTCCCCCCGAATGCAGAGTTGAATGGCCTCTCAAACAAAGGAATATGGCCTGGTCGAAGTGTCTACAATGAAATTAAGGACACGAACAAAGACAATGTTTGCCTAACAAAAGGCTGCGTGTGGGCAGGTAAGAAGCAGTGTTTTGTTTGTACTGAAGCTTCCATCCTATGAAAAGTACCGCTGCATTACACGTGCAATAGCGTGGCATGCATTGCAATATATCGATTGATCTGCCATTTAAACCTATGGAAAAGCATCGATAAACAGGGTGTTCGCAACGAATACTTTACTAATCGATTCTTTACCATAGCTTTAAATATAGAGATATCGACAATCGATCATTCACGCCTCGCCACTGCATTACAGTACGACGACGCGACGCTGACGTTGAACTTTAAGAGTTACACGAAGGTCTTGAGCACATATTTATTATACCTTTCGTGAAGGATAACACCTGTCGTTCCTGAATCAGATCACCCTAATTGTGCCTCAGTTTTCGTGTTGCAAAGGAGTTCTTGTCATGGGACGGGAATTTTCGTTATGAAAAAAAGAGGCAGTAGCCTAGGCCCAATGGTTGGATTCTATAATCATTTACACTCAATTGTAGCTGAAACTCAATTTATTGTAATTCAGCCACGATAAGGTGCACTCCAGCCACGACTCTAGTTGAGTGTTCAGCCCTAATTTATTAGAGACGACCAATAACGTGTGACTGGACTCTAAAGTAAGGGGCCCATGCAGCTACAACTTATCTCTTCCGTGAATCTAATACATTTTCCAGAAAACACGGTGAAGCCATTGGGTTCATTCTAAATGCATCTCTTAAAAAGCTCAAGAAAATGGTTATAGGACTTTTGGTCCAATTTTTTTTGTCCACAAATTTTTTCGTCCAATTTATTTTGTCCACGACTTTTTGTCCTTGAAATCTGGTCCAAGTTAAATTCGTCCTGGTAAATAGTTAGTCCTACGCATTTGTTCGTCCAGTGGTGTTAGGTCACATTTCTGTGGTCCAGTAAGGTAAAAAAGTTATGTCCAAAACTCACGTCCAATGAGGCCGTTTCAGCTACTTCCTTTCAGCTTTCAGCTACTTTCAGTCATCGTCTGAGTCTTCTTCGTCCGAGTCCGGTGGATCTGCGCGTGGCGTGTGAATCAATTGGCGTTAAGATCAATTTATTTCGTAGCTATGGAGACCCTTAAATTTAATCCCAACATCGAAAGAAAAAACATCGAAGAGGTGATTTTAAAATTTTCGTTCAAAATTCAATGACTGTATATATTTTTGAAATAGACGACGCTTTAACCGAATTTGCGACGTACGTTGACCACACGTACGTGCGTGGCAAACCAGCTCGGGGAAGAAGACGTGCGGTACCTCCCCTGTTCCCTCCCGAAACATGGAACGTCTACAACTTAGTTTTGGCAGATCGTATTAGAACAAACAACGCAGTTGAGGGCTTTCACTCAAAATTCAACCAAATCGTCGGCACGCATCATGCTAACATTTGGAAGCTCATTGACGCTTTTAAAAAGGTTCAACAGGACACAGAGCGTACGTTAACACAGGCTCGGGGGGGTCATCGCCGCTTTAAACCACCGGTGAGCAAGAAGTACACTACCAATCAGGCAATGATTGCCAACATCGTCCGAAATTACCAACATTACAAGGACACGAACTCACTTAAGAAGTACCTCCGAGCATGTGCGTACCACCTCAAGTTGCACACGCCACGCGCAGATCCACCGGACTCGGACGAAGAAGACTCAGACGATGACTGAAAGTAGCTGAAAGCTGAAAGGAAATAGCTGAAACGGCCTCATTGGACGTGAGTTTTGGACATAACTTTTTTACCTTACTGGACCACAGAAATGTGACCTAACACCACTGGACGAACAAATGCGTAGGACTTACTATTTACCAGGACGAATTCAACTTGGACCAGATTTCAAGGACAAAAAGTCGTGGACAAAATAAATTGGACGAAAAAATTTATGGACAAAAAAAATTGGACCAAAAGTCCTGTAACCCAAGAAAATAAAGCCGCAAAATAGGAGCGCCCCGAAGTTTTTCTTTTTTATTCGCCTAAAAAATATCTGGTACAGTTATACAATTAATTACAGCCACATACGAGGTGGGAGGGGTTTACTGAGGCATGACCATGATCATAAATTATCATGATGAAAAAGAGAATGTGTTAAAGCCACAAACTGGGTGTTTCAGCACATTCGGCGAATGGTGATTATTCCTCTTACTTCTGTCACCACTATGCGACACAACCGACTGCGGCCCTGCGAACATTTGGACTTCATTTTGCAATTAGGAGCTACAATTCCTGGCTTATCCGTAAAAGCACTTATGCTTATGGGGAAACTAATGGCACATACGTTGTTTCTAAACTGAGCCAGAAAGTGTAGTTCCAAACTGCAAAATGTACACTGACAAAAATATTTGTCTTTTTGTGATACTTTTGGTAGATACAGGAAGTGAAACACAAACCAATACAAATTTTATGTTGATTTTGGTACATTTTTGGTGAATTCAGCGCAAGAAAAAAATGGAGAGACTGGGAAAATGCATTCCTCCGATGGCCGGCGACGTTGGCATTCACCGCTCGTTTGTTATGAAATTTCTTCACGAAATCTAGCTGGCATTTCTTCTTAATTGAAATTGTCAACCGAAAGCTAGGGCTATTTTGTCTTTTACTTCCCGTATTAACCAATGGAGAATTTGCATGCAAATTATTTAATGCTTCATCTGCAAGTGCTTAAAGAGCTGATTTCACAGTATTTTTTATAATTTTTTCTGATACGGGAAATAGTAGAAAAAATAGATTTAAAAGTGAGAAAATACACCGTTTAGTGACGTCATCTGGCGGCATTTCCCATTTAAACACAAGTATTTTAGCAGATTAGATCATTTTGTCATATCCCCTCCAATAATTATTCAATTCACGAACCAAGGGTATCCTCGTTTTCAGTTCACTCATTGTCAGTACGTTCCAGTTAAACACTAAATTCATCAAATTTCAGACACCTGCAAATTCTCTACTCTATGATCTGCAATAATCTGTCATTTCATATGCCCGCAGTGAATAACATTTGGACCGCGTTAAACAGAAAGGAAGCAAGCCACATCAGCTGTTGCCAAATTGAATTGGGCGATTTAATTTTTTACCGAAAAACGGTTGTGCGGATTTTTCTAAAAATTTCAGTGAATTTTATGCGTGATACGAAGTAAATTCCTCAAAAATGTCAAAGGAATCCGCAAAACCGTTCTCTTGTAAAAAATTAAATTGCTGTATTAAATTTGTCAATAGCTGATGTGGCTTGGTTCCTTTCTGGTGAACGCGGTCCATTTTTCTGTGACTCGCTGAAATATTATGACATGGCTAAGCAACATTCAATTTCTTTTCTGCATAATTCTGATTTCTAATCACAAAAATGGGAACTCAAACTGAATGATTTTTGTTTGATCAGCCTCCGACGTTCTGGACAAGATGGACGACTCAGTGGACCCGTGCGACGATTTCTATCGCTTCACGTGCGGCAAGTTCATCAAGGAAACCATCATCCCCGACGAAAAGACTTCCGAGACGACATTCAGCGAGATCAGTGATACGCTGCTCAACCAGCTCCGTGCCATCATCGAAGCGCCTACTTACGAGAACGAACCCAAACCCTTCGTTCTCTCTAAAAACCTCTACAAAGCCTGCATGAACAAAAGTGAGAACTTTCACATTTTTTCCCCCTAGGGATATCACTGGTTTTACGTGCGATTTAACTGTTTGCCTTTGCTGAAACTAATCCTGAAACCTGTAAAACATCATGTCAACACTGAAAAATAGGCACCCAACCTCTACAAAGCCTGCATGAACAAAAAGGAGAACTCTCATATTCCCCCCCCCCTAGGGATATCACTGGTTTTACGTGCGATTTAAATGTTTGACTTTGCTAAAACTAATCCTGAAACCTGTAAAACATCATGTCAACACTGAAAAATAACTCCGGCCGTCAAAGCCGTATACTTGCGGGTTAGACATACCGTCCGCTTTCCGGGCTCAGCGGCCGAAAGTTCTGGCCTCTGAACCCGGAGTAGGCGAAGAAGTTCCACCCTGAGCCCAGAGGAAATAGTCGTTTTGTGGAGTGTTTTATTCCACTTGATTTTCAGTGGAATTTGTTGGTGTCACAGATGTTTACTTTCTCGCTCCCCTAGGGTAGAGGAAGTATTGTTTCTTCTTTTTTTTTCAACTTGGCATATCGTAAAAGGTGCTTTCGACGGTGAAAATGCAGATATGCGTACCTCGGTTGCGATGTTTCGAACTCTCCGCTCCTGTGTTATTTTTTTTAAGGAGACTGAACAAACATTACAGCTTGACGTTTTCACAGAGTATTCTTTTTGAAAGGAAGAAACATCGCTGAAATATTTTAAAAAAATGACCTTTAGTTGTTTTTTACGGAGAAAATAAGGTACAGTGAAAGCTAGCTAAGTCGAATCGTGTAGGAACCGACAAAAAATTCGACTTAAGCGGCAATTTGACTTAACAGATTCTCTACTTAACTTATGGACGAGTCTATGAACCGAAAAAAAATCGACCTAATGGACTTTTCGTCTTAACCGTAGTTCGACTTAGCGAGCTTTTACTGTATGACAGGAAGTCTGCAACGCCGCAAGCCAAGATATGCACTTCTGCAATTTCAACATGGTTATGGTCCCGTCTCTAACATCTCTAATAAATAGATTAATATCCGAAGAATTATGGCAGCGAAATCAAAAGAGAGTACCACTCAACCGTCAGCCCACATTATACGATGCACAAAATTATTCTAGAGAGCTATTCCTAAACAGTAGTATTTCTTTTGCAGGTAGGATAGAAGATTTAGGTCTGGAACCGGTGCACAAGATTATCAAAAGCTTCGGAGGGTGGCCTGTGCTGGAGGGTGACCGGTGGGACGGAGGCTCATTCAACTGGAAGGACAGTGTTTATAGATTCCGCAAAGCTGGATACAGTGTAGACTACTTCATAGATTTCTCCGTCAGCATCGATCTCAAGAACTCCACTGTTAGAGCCATCGATGTAAGTCAAAAAATATATGAAGTATACTTTTCTTTTATACATATGTACAAACGTAACAATTTGATCAGCCCAACAGGGCCGGATTCACTTAATTGCCGCCCATGGGCCGCCTGTATTTTGCCGCCCCCTTCTCATTCGTTTTGAAACATCAATAAAAACCATCAAGTAAACGTACCGGAGGGGGAGGGGTGCGATGGGGGGGATAAGACGCGTTTACTCGTGTTGGACATACTTTTTGCGAAAGCTCTGTCAACACTACTAGAAACAGTTCACGGAACTTTGCGCGAAAATTAAGTTCCGTAAACCTATCTCTGTGTGGACAAGGCCTTCCATTTATATGAAATGAACGAACAAATTATGAATGAACAAACATAAATGTGGTTTAATAATTTTAACTTCCGTCACCGTGCCGCGCTGACCACACTGTGTTTGGCGCAATGCGTGAAGTATTCATGTAGTCTCGTAGGCGCTATGCATTTCACGCCGCCCGCTGCTGACCGCAGCGACCGCATTGTCTTTGACGCAATGCGTGAAGTATCCATGCAGTCTTGTAGGCGCTAATATGTGTTACATGCCGACCGCCGCGCCGCGCGGCCGCGCCGAGGGTTTATCCTTTTCATCTCAAGTTCTCGTCATCATTGCTCTCTGCGCCGCGCTGTTCCAGGCCAAAGTCCGTGTTCGGTTTCTCTCTTAGTCTTAACTCAACATATTAGAGGTGCTGTCTATTGTATCACAGAAAGATCACAAAATTAAAGATATACTCCCAAGAAATGGGAGATTTTGTCACCTTCTCTCGTTTGTATATTTTTTTCTGAATCCGTTTTCTTTATAACTACATTTAAAAAAATCGCAAAATTTGCCACCCCCTAAATCCGGCCCTGCAGCCCAGTTGTATATAAGAAAAATAAAACAACCAAAACGGGGCACAGGTTGTTATTAAAACAATTTGACGGAACGTTTCGGGATTAACATGCCCCTTTTCAACCGCCGATAAAAATTAAAAACAAAAAATTAAAAACACGAACGAGCCGCCGCTTAACAGCTGGGCAAGACTCAACTTGCCTTACGTGTTATGGCTCATACGTGTTTTTAATTTTTTATTTTGTTTTATCGGCGGTTGAAAAAAGACATGTTAATCCCGAAACGTCCCGTCAAATTCTTTCAATCACAGTCTGTACTCCGTTTTAGTTCTTTTATTTCTCTTATTCTTTTAAACATAGTTGTCGTTGCCATTAGTAATGAATTGCTGCACATGCCATACGATTGTGTGATGCAATTCAACGAAAATTTGTCGTCAGCTAGCTGGGGTGGTACCTTAAGCCACATGGTCTATTATTCTGCCGTGCTGTAATTTGGTATGTAACTACACTGAGAACTAGAATGATTGTATTTTTTAATTGTTTCAGTTGGATCAAGCATCATTAGGATTGAGCCGCGAATATCTTTCCAAAGGACTGAACGAGAAAATTGTGGCTGCCTACTACGACTATATGGTGGATGTTGCCATTCTCTTCGGTGCAGACCGTGAAAGAGCCGTCAAGGAATTGCGGGAATCATTAGATTTTGAAATAGCCCTCGCTAACGTAAGTTTCTATCATGCGTTTCTTGACACTCGAGCCTTTTTATTTCATACGAAGCAATTTTATCGTGGGCGTTTTTGCTACATGTGTAAGAGTATATGGAGGACAATGTAGGTACAAGCTGTCCTGACACTGTCAGCATTACTGTCAGGCTGACAGTAATGCTTAAAAAAAGTTTGCTCATCGAACTATATTGCGGTATAGCCTATACCAAAAAGTGCGGCCCATTTAGGACACTGTGCTTCTCAGTTCACACTACCGAGAATCTTTGATATAGCTACTACCGAATTTATCGGTCTGGTGTACCGCATCTCTTCGCTTCTGAAACTGTAACCGAAGTACAAATTAAGGAGCCAAAGAAGATGGTTTGCATTACCAAGGGATGAAATCGTAGGCAAAGAAAGTTTGAGCGGACTACACGTCTCACGAGTCGCTCAGTGCAGGTTAAGGGTGGAAAAAAGGGGTACGTGCAAAACCCGAGTTAATTTTTGCTCATGGGTGATGATTTTGCAGCTTATTGCCACATTCAATCAAAACAATAAACCGACAATTCACCGTCTGAAACAGCCGATTTTCTCGATCTGCACTCCCCTAACTCGCGAACTCGCGACCAAAACATTTTCCCTACTCAGTTTTTCATAAAAATAAGAAATTGGCCATTTTGGGAATTGGCAGAGACGTGAAAAAACGGGGGCTTTTTTAGCGTCCCGTTGCTTCGGAGACGAGAACTTGGTCTTCTTAAGTTGACAAAACCCGTCACGCTGAAAACGCCTGTTTCCAAAACTACCTAATTTTCCAAAATGAAATCCGCGAAAATTTTGCCGACTTAAACTTTTACCCCTCTCTCTTGTGAGCCCGGCTTTTTTTGAAGGAGACGGGGCTTGAAACTTTAGGAAAAGACGGGACACTGCTGAGTGATTAAAAACGGAGCGGAAATTGACTTGTTTTGCGGGTGCCCTTTTGGGGCAAACTGTTCGTTGCACAGGGGGTGAAAGACTTACGTATAATTCAATGACTCCCAGTCCCTCTCAGGAAAACTCACTCGCTTCCCGTGGTGGATGCACGAGTCACCTAAAAAGGAGCTACAACTAGAAAAACGCGCGTGAATGGAGAATGTTTCCGATGAGTTTCTGTTGGAATTTTCCCGCTTGTTCTTTATTGAATCATCTCGATAGGAATAAATTTCAGTGAAGAAATATTTGAATAAGCAGATAATCTTCTAGTATTCTTCTTCATACCTGTCAAAAATTAAATGTTGAGTAAATATCTAGTAGTAACATTAAAAAATTCCCTTGTCTAAAAAGACTCGATCAAGCTTACAAGTTGATTGCTCATAATCTGGACAGGTATTCTAAACTCCTAGGTTAGGGCTTACAATACTTTTGCTAGGAAGTGGACCAAATCTAGCCGCGAGACCCTCACCTGCGTCCTGTGGAGTGAAAAGTGACATGACACTGCTTCCAGTTTGCTAGCCGCTGGTGCTTGTTGGAGCTCAAATGCACTAAATTAAATACATTGCATATGAGTTTGAATGCATCTCTGAAATACGTCGCTTGACTTGGCAACATTGCTAACAGAAGTGAGGTTGACAGCGTGCTGCAAGAGCGAAAGTCAGTAACTTGATATTCGCCGGGCTTTCATAATTCGCAAGTTCCTCGATCCTTGGGCGTTTGATCTTCTGGCTTTGAAGCTGTACTGCCAGATTTCTCTTTATCGATGGCCCCTACAAAGAAATTGAAAAATCTCGTCCAATATGTAAGGCGAGAAGAGATCCTTAACGAAGATATCGATGAATTTGGGGAGGGGGAGGAAGGGTCGATATTTAAAGTTAAGGCTAAGCCAAAAACAGAGGCGGGTCCAGCAATTTCGCAACCCCGCAGCAATGTATCGATTCTTATCGGAATACTTGGCCCCTCCAAGAATCGATACATTTCCACAGGTTTAAATAGAGAAAAGACAATGTTGTCACTTCGCTGGACCCGCCATTGGCTAAAAAACTCTTTCTCAAAAAAAGTTAAGGTTAGACGGAGAGAGTGGGGATTTCCGTTTTAGGTCAAGGAAAAATCGTTGCTCCAGATTTTTTCTTTACGGCTGGGACAATCATGTGCGCCGCAAAATAATTAACAATCAAATTTTTTATTGTCTTCTTCGAATTATTTGAAATGAGAGATCAGGTACATGTGTCTTATATTCGTAACCTAGATGGATAAGAATTTCTCATAATACAAATAGCGTGCCGCACTCACGAACAAAGACAGCACTGCGCAACCCGAGGCTACAATATCAATCACCGCTTTAGCTGTAGCGCCTTGGTGCATCGGTGCAACTATTCCTGTTCCGGAGCTGTCAATGTTGCCTACGAAAAAACTGAAGGCGTTCTGTCTTTTATCGAGCTCGCAGCGTTTTATTCGCCAAGAAAAACGGTATTGCATTCTAAGGCGATTCGCCTATGATTTTCCAGTAAATGAATACTTATAGGACACGAATACTGTTTGGAACCTTGTCATTTTTCCATTTTACATTTGATCGATTTGAATGATGACGAAAGAATGTCTTGTTTTCTGGTGGTCAAACTTCGGGTCGCCGAGTCTGAATAGTCGTTCCTATTGCGCGAGCAACTCCTTTTTGGGGATGAGGGCAGACTTTTAGCATTCCTCTAAATGCAGAATCATAAATTGGACTGCATTTTGCAATTCGGACCTATAAATTCTGGCTCATCTGAAAAAAACACTTACGTGCATAGGGAAACTAATGGCACATGCGTTGTTTTTAAACTGGGCCGGAATCTATAATTCCAAATTGCAAAATGTAGTCCAACTAAGGATGGTTCAATTTTATTTAAAACATACCTCGTAGAACACATCTTATGATTACAAGAATTTTTCGATCTATTTTTGAATTGATAATTTTGTTCGCATTGATAGTTAAAAGTTTTAATGGTAGCACTCGGGAGGGTTTAGTTATACATTTTGTTCAAATCGTGGAATCACGCCGCTCCATCTTCTTACGTTGCGTGCATTAACGCCGACGCCAAATGACGTATCGGTCAGCGCACAAATCGGGTTGTTGATATGACGTCAAATAAAGCCATTTTTGTCGGATCGAAGAGGCCTGATTTCTGCATGTAAGTCACGCTTGTGCCATTTTCCGTCGCGACAACCACTTTCAAGCCGCACCACTTACATTCCACTCTTATCAAAACAGTTTCCTCCTTCATTTTCTCATTCCTTTCATCTCTCTCGAAGAGCGGCCACTTGTGCTTGTCCTTTTCTGGTCGGCTCTTGTCACGACCGGCCGGAAATATGAGGCCACTGTCGAACAAATCTACTTGTGTTACCCGCATGAGAAACTAAGGAGGAAAGTAATAATTCGCTCGAATAGCGTCACTGCCAACGGTTCTGAGAAATGAAGTTTTCTAGTTTAAAAACTGCGTGGTGCCTTATGAAGTCAGAAACTCAATGCATACTGACGAAAAAATATTTCCGTTATTATCTTTTACTTACTTTGATTGTCCAGAGAACCAAAACTCCGTTTTACGAGCCGATAAGAATCCCACGTTCACTGAAATTAAATTCAGTTTTCTCAGCCGAGGAGGTCGGTGCGCCTGACAGAGAGCCGAGTCCTTTAAAGCAAGAAGCGCATATCGACGGTGAAACTACCAGACCACGTGTCTCGATTTGCGACGTTGCAAACTTCCTGCCAAACTGTATTTTTTAAATGGGAAACTACTCAACGCCAATTCTTGAAAACCTCCATGATTTTTCGTCCCGGAGCGAGGAAAACTCTGTGAAAACTTCAAGTAAACATGTTGATTTGCTCTCCTTCAAGAAAATAAAACGAGAGCGGGTTTTTAGACACCGCAAACGAGACACGTGGTCTAGTAGTTTCATCGTCGATTTAAGAACTTTACTCGCAACCCAAGTAGCAATAATGGCGGAAAATGGCGATTTTATCGGTTGGTTATCGCAAATATATCGGTGGAAATATATCGAGATATTATCGCATAAAAATTGCGGTAAATGGCGGTTAAATCGCTACACATCACAATTTTTGGTTCGATAAAATTGCGATCAATTTTCGGCTATAAAAAGAGATTATATCGCCGTTTATTGCGATTTTTATTTCGAAAATATTGCGATAAATTGCCGGGCGATAAAATCGCGATTTTATCCCGATAAGATCGCTCTGATGTTAATGATCCTAGTGATTTTATCGCCAATAAAATTGCAATGTATCCCGATTTTTCCGATGAACAATGCTACTTGGGTTAGCTCGTCTGGTGGTCCGTTTACTGATACTAATGTGAATGTGTTTCTCTTCACAGATTTCATTGCCGATGGAGCAAAGGAGGAACGCAACCGCAATGTACAATCCGATGAGTATAGATGAACTGCAGCGAAAATTCCCGAGCATTCCGTGGCTGGAGTACATCAACACCTTGCTGGCGCCCCACCATACACTCACCCCCGATGAAGTCGTCAACGTTAACGTCCCAAAATATTTCCACGATCTGGAAGCAATCCTAAGTAACACTCCCAAAAGGTACGTTTTTTACAAATTCCAAGATTTAAATAAGTCTTAGGATGTACTTGGACAGTGTCTCATATACCGCCTACAACAAATACATACGGTGATCCGAAAGAACTTGGATTAGTCCTGTAGTTTCTAAATTATGATGGGTGAAAAAACATGATCTTGGTGTCATTTGAAAGATCAACTCATCATCTATCTTGAAAGACAAAGATCAGCTCAATCGGACAAAAATTATATTTATGCACGAAGAGAGTAAATTCTGATGTGAAATTCGCCTCTTTTATTTTAATCTTCAAAATGCCAGAAGCAAAAGCAAGTTAGCATAAGATCGGTTAAAATTTTAGTTCGTTAACAAAGTACCAATTTCCAGGGGCCCATGCATTGCCACAGAGAAAACGGTCTGTGCTGGAGATACAAGGAGGTCGTTATGTACTTATGTAATCACCTCACCGTCCACAGTTTTTTTTTACCCTCGCCCTTTCTTGCATTTCAGTCCCGAGGTTGGTCCTCAGGTTTGCCGCAATGTATTCTGGGTACACTGGAAAAAAACCCACATTGGATCTCGAGTCCAGACTCTTAAAAACATCGACAAGAAAAAGTACTCTTGATTTAATCAGATTCTAGCTTAAATCAAGAACCAAGCCTCTTAATTTAAGCGGATTTCGCATTCTAGCATTTGATTCTAGCAAAACTCCGATTGAATCAAGAGTATTTTTTCTTGTCGATGTTTTCAAGAGTTTGGACTCTAGATCCAATGTGTTTTTTTTTTTTCCAGTGTACGATATAATTATTCCGGCGCTTAATCACAGTGTTTGAAAAAAAAAATGAGATATTCGCGATTTCAAGTAAAACGAGTCTTAATGCAAATTTTGCGTGAAATTGGCTTCCAAATTCCAATTTTTAAGCATCACAAAGTTAGTTCGAAGTTTCTTTCCGCCATTAGGATCCATGTAATTTCGAATCTCCAAACACGTATTTCTCGAAATAGCGAATACTGCACTTATGCGCCTTGTCCTCAAAGCCCCTCATTTGATGTTTCATGAAATCTACTCCCTCGATTTTATATTTTTTTACGTTTCATTGGTTGTGACTTTTTTCCTCGGTCTATTGGCAGAACGCAAGCCAATTATGTGGTGTGGCGTGCGGCCGCGGCCAGCGTGAGCTACCTGAACGAGAAATTGCGGAACCGGCAGCTCGGCTACTCCACCGTCGTTTCCGGTCGGACAGAGCGAGAAGCACGCTGGAAGGAGTGCGTCGATATCGTTTCCGGAAGGTAACCACCATCATGTGAATCTTATTTGATTAGTCCCTTGAAGAATTCAATACCCTATTCCCTCGAACTTAAGAGCGAAGTTTTATTGCGCCTTCAATACTACACGATGCAATTGTCTCGTTGCTCGGGTGCCTTTCACGGTACGAATAAATTGTACTGCTCCATCTGAGAGTGCTCACCCAATTCCCTCGAACTTAAGAGCGAAGTTTTATCGCGCCTTCAATAATACACGATGCAATTGTCTCTACGCACGGGTGCCTTTCATGGAAAATTTGCACGAACAAATTGAATCGGGTCGTGCGATAACCACTAATGTCCATTTTTCCAGTCTTAAGTTTTTTTGAGTTCATAATACTACTCGGAGTTGGTTGCAATCACGAAACTGGCGTCGAAACTCGTCTTCGGTTTTACTTAATCCCAAAACGAGTCCTTTTATAACGTTTATGGTTGTATCAACTCTTTAAGTAAGAGCCTTATAAACTCAAAAAAACTTAAGATTGGAAAAATGGACATTAGCGGTTTTCTTAAGTCCCGATTCCATTGTACTGCTCCATCTGAGAGTGTTCAGTGAGCTGATTCCGCAGGATTTTTTAAAAAAAATTCTGAGATGGAAAATTGTAGAAAATTAGATGTGAAATTGAGGAAGTGCAGCGCCGAGTGGCGTCATATGGCAGCAGTTCCCACTTAAACGCGTATATTTTAGCAGAGTACATAATTTTTTATTTTCTCTCCAATAATCGTTCAATTTAGAAACCACGGATTTCCTCGTGCTCGGCTATTTCAGTAGTTTCATCCTAAACAAATATCATCAAATTGCAGACACCTGCAGATTCCATTGCATATTCACTGTGAAATGAGGGAACATTTTATATCTCAAACGTATTAGGTATCATTCTATGTATATCAGTAGTTACCTACATTTCATACTTCAGTGCTTCAAAAGTTCATTGTTCCAATCATATTAGAATGTAACAGCCTTGCTAAATTATAGAGGCCATACAAACGTAGGTTTCTTTCGAACTTTTTCTGTGAATTAGGAGGGAGTGTCGAGGCAAAAGTTACGTAATTATTTTGGAAATTTCCAAATAAGAGTTACTATCTTGTTACAAGGGGTAAATTGGTGTCAAAAAATCGAAGAAAGTGTGTTATATAATTTAGGACAGCCCCCAGGAGCACCAACCCCTCCCTCACCCGTACCCCGAAATGCTTAAGAGGCCCCTAGGGAGCTTTAAATTAATATATATCTGGTTTCTTGGTGTCGATTACTGACAGTGGCGAGACGTGAATGATCGATTATCAATATTCCCTCATTTGAAGCTATAATACAGAATCGATTTTTAAGGTGTTCGTTGCAAACACCCTGTTTATCGATCCTTTTCTATGGGTTAAAATGGCAGATAAATCGATGTATCGCAAAGCACGCCACGCCGCTGATTTCTCACTGCACCACCTTTTTTTCGTCAGTTTTGGACAGATTTGGATGAAATTCCTACATTCCCTGGAAGGAACGGACAAACGGGCTTATTTTCTTTCACAGATTCTTCTCCCCTTGCTCTTTTTTTCTTTTTCCCGTAAAATCTCTATTTTGTGGCAAATTGGGTAGTTCTTGGAGAGATACAAATAATAAGGTCATTTTTGTACTCAATGCTGAAACACACAATCATCCGTCATGTATCTGCGTATATTTTTCGATTCAAGTGTCAACAAAAATTCTGGTTAACTCTATCAATTGATCTACAAATAAACGCTCTAGTTAATATCTAGGACATAGTCAAGCTCAACTAAATTTCGTTTCAGATGGCTGTGATGCGACTCTTAATCAATGTATTTATCACGTTTTTTTTTTTTTTAGTATGTCACTTGCTGTAGGATCTCTGTATGTGAAGAAATACTTCAACGAGGACTCAAAAAAATCTGCCCTGGAGATGGTCAATGGAATCCGTGATGAGATGTATAAAATTCTTACCAGCGTTGAATGGATGGACGAAAAAACAAGGTACTTAAATATGATGAATCAATGTTTTAATTCATGTAATTAAGAGTTCTCATGCGTTCTACTTTAATATTTTTTAATCATCCAGCATTGACGCATCAGGACAAGAGTAAGTGGTAAATTTTCAAATATTTGGATCAATAAATCGATACGACTCCACTGAGAAATCTGCGATGTTTGATGGCTCCTCCTTTGAAGTTTTAAGCAAAGTTAAAAAAAAATCTTAACTTTAAAAAAAGTAATGGTAGTGCAAGAAACTCGATTTTGAAATGATGCGCGAATCTAGTTCTAAATATCCCTAAGTTTTCATTGGAGGGAAAATCAAATCTTTCGAATATTAATTATGTGTTCCGATAGTTTAGTAAAATTACTAGTTTTAAAATAAATTGATTCAAATGAATTCACTATTCCTGTGTGTTTAAACACATATATTAGAGGGGTATGCCCCCTGGCCGCTACGCAGCCCAACCCCCAGTGGGCGCATCACGTTTTCTTAGGCCCGCGTCGACGAAAGAACGACCAAAAAAATGGAAAGATTTTCATACCCGACTCTTCCCTATCCAATCTCCCTCCGGTCGGGAGGAATTGGACCAATAAGAATCGAACGAAAAAATCGGCTTTTATTTCAACTTCACGCCAAGACTGAAACGAAACGGAACGGAGCGTTTCGTCGCTTCTGGGTAGCCTGCAGCAAAGGTGCATACCTTCGATCGACCTTTAATCCTACTAACAGACCAAGATTCAACATCTCCCGCTTACTTCAATTTTCCGCTAAATTTGAAATCCCCGCCATTTCTCATTGACGGGAATTTCAAATTTTGTCCCCCTTTCCAAGCTTTCTGGTCTCCTCTTATATGAAAAAACTGGGTCCTATTTTCAAATTCTGATTACAGCGGGCTCATCTAGGGGCTCGATAACCGCAAAAATTATGGAAAACGGCCTAGAAGAGTGCTTAGACGAACTATGACAAAAAATAAAAAATTACATTGTTTAAATGGGAGAATTCGCAACTTTACCACGTAATGTAAAAAAAACCTGGGTCATATTTTCAAAATCTGAATAAAGCGGGGTCATTTAGCGACAATTGCCTGTCGATAACCGCAAAAATTTCGAAAATCGGCCCGGTAGAACGCTGGAACTAAGCGTTACCAGATACGAAAATTTAGGAGGTCTCGGAGCTTATGGTATAGATTTTACTCTTCAACAAGCTAACTTTTCCTGATACTTTCTGTACTTGCAGAATAGCGGCTTTAGAAAAGGCGAAATCGATGACAACCCACATTGCTTATCCAGATGAACTGCTGGATGTGGAGAAATTAAAGGGATTCTACGATAAGGTAAATCACCACAATATATTACAAGAATATCTCGAACTTCTTCCTCGAGGAGATCTGTCCTTACTTAAGTTGCACATTCGTAAGAATAGTGACAACTGCATTAAGACAATTTGAAGTTGGAGCAATTATAGTTTCACTTTTTGAAATTTTTCTGAGAATTTTAGGAACAGTCTCTATTAACTGAAATGAATTTTTTTTTCAGCTGGAAATGAGTCCGGATAATTACCTTGAGTCTATTCTGAACTTAACCAAATTCGGAACGGACTACAGTTTCAGTAAATTGAGATTACCCGTCAACAAATCGGAATGGATCACCCATGGCAGACCTGCAGTTGTCAATGCGTTTTACAGCTCCATTGAAAACAGTATCCGTAAGTTAAAACAATCAGATTTACAAGAATTGTTTAAAAATTTTCTATCTCGGAAACTTTAAAACCTAAAAAATAAAACAATACCAATATAACAAAACAATTTTTCAACATATTCAGAGTCGGATATCCTTACAAGAGTTGAGTTGTATTGACTTCCAAAGTGCCTACAAACACGAAATAAGAAACGCACTCAAGCAGGGGATTGAATATTTCTAAAGTACAACTTTCATTATAACCATCTTGCATGGTTTTTTTTCCGATTCAGTAAGCATACGTGTTATAAAAAATCTGGAAATAGACGGATCGAAGGGATTTTGTAAAAAAAAATAAAGGTACATACTCGCATTTGTTGCGGTATTTTTTTTTTAATCGGGTGTCGGGTTCCGGTTCCGGGGAACTCCTTTTTTGGAGAAAATGCCGTGGTCTTTTCTTTTGTATGTGTTTTTCTCAGAAATCATCTGTATGACCTCTATCATCTGACCATCCAAGTTTATTCAAAAATAATGGTCGATATTCTTCTTTCCTGTTATTTACCTATGGGTGTTCTTAATTTAAAATTTAGACTGTATTATTGATTTTAATACGTCTCATCCATTCCACAAATAATATCCTTAAGTATAAATTATCGGATAAAAATTTTACAAACAGAAATACACTCGCTCACAGTCATATTTTTACCTTTTCGGCTGCTTGCGAATTGTAGACTTAAATGACTCTCAACGGGGCATTATAATATATTTTTTCAGAATTCCCCGCTGGTATTCTTCAAGGTTCATTCTTCTCGAACGACAGGCCTAAGTATATGAACTATGGAGCTATCGGATTTGTCATTGGTCACGAAATCACTCACGGATTTGATGATCAGGTAAGCTAGGTTGTCGATAAATTTGAGCCATTTATGTTTTTATTTTTATATCGATTTGGCACTCTCACAAGCATACAGCCATAAACAAATGTTTTAAGGTGGACAGGGAGGAGAGGCAAAGCCCTACTTACCGTACAGCGTACACAGGGCTCTGATGTTATTGAACGGCTGCATATGATCAACTATCAAGTTACCAAACTGAAAACAAAGAGATAACTTAGTTGTGTTCCTCAAATGAATGTGCTTTACCTCTCAAAGTAAAATTTTGTGATATTGTTGGATTTCCAGGATACGCGCCTTTTAATCAGTTACTTTAAGTTGTTTTTACATTTTACAGGGTCGGCAGTTCGACAAAAATGGTAATCTAGTAGATTGGTGGGAGCCTGAGACTAGAGAGGCTTATCTAGAGAAAGCGCAATGCATCATTCATCAATATGGCAATTATACTTCACCTGAAGTTGGACTGAAGGTAAGCGATTGGAACTACCCCCAGAATAGTGCTTTCGCCTATATTATTGAGTGGACTACATACAAATTCCTAAAACCTTCGAGGAGCGCTTATCAATTTTTAAATGCAAAATTATATCCATTCTTATATGATTAAAGAGTGCATAATTGAGTTTTAAGCTAAGCAGCTGTGTTTTAAGCTAGCTAAGCTGTGATTTAAGCTAAGCCGTATACTGTCTATATTGGTAGTTTTGTTTACAGAGAAAATAATCAAGTTTCTTAATTTAAAAAAAAAAAAAACTTGATTTTTTCCGTTCTTAAACTCAGGATTGGATTCACTCTAGAAGAAAAAGTCGAGTTTGCCCTGCTGAAAAACTAAATTAAATATCGACGATTAGTCTAGGATGACACCGTTGAGTAGTAGCAAAACTGGAACGTCATCTATCCGGCCACAATCAGAATGTTCTGTTGAACATTAACGGATGGGTGATATGCACCAATTCAGTTCAGCAACCTGTTCAAGGATCGGGTCTACCATCTATGGTCAAAAACTCATTGATAGACAAACTCTTTCAATGCTATTTTTAGGGTGTTAGAGGGCTCGTAAATAGGATGAACTGTACGGTTTGAATGACATTTTTTACTCCAAGGAGACGAGAGAGAAGTTGGAAATAAAATTGAGCTTGAACTCCGATAGAATCCACCAAAAAAAGGCTTTTCCATATTCAGATTGTCTGTGAATATATTTGAAATGCGTAAGGAAAGAAATATTGTTGCTTCGTCCTTTTAAACAAGTATTCATTAAAAATAAAATACGAATGGGGGGTGTGCAATGTTTCAATCGGACATAACCAGGCTTTCTTTTCGCGTAGCCATCAATATTTGACATCGTCGAGGGAAGGCGTTCGTAAGATAACTATTCGACCACGGGTGATGCCCATATTGCCGTCAGCTGCAATTGAAGGCGCGTCACACTGCGACGATGACACAACCGCGCTGCGCTCGCTGGCGCGGTGCTAACAGCGTCGCTAAATTGGGGCATTTTACATTTGTAAAGTTCTTACATTCTCCCCCCTAAAGAAAGTCGTTTTAAAAAAAGTATTAGTTTAAAAAATTAAAGTTTTTTGTTGACTAGTTACTTCCCTGCTCTGTCTCTTGTTCTACCTTATTTTCATACAAAAGTTATTGCTCTCAATGTCTGTCTCTTCCCTAATGTACGATCATTTGGACGTATTTCTGTAAAACGGAACTATGTGCATGATGACGTGAGCCCTGTCACGCACGTATGCTTATAGGTCTCAGGGCTCATGTCTTAATGCATATAGTTCCGTTTGATAGAAATACGTCCATTTGACCTACTGGTTAGTGTAGTTATTTGAAATAGCTCCATTTAGCGATTTTTGGGTTGATAACAGAGATAATGGCTAGTTTGCTGGCGTAAAAACGCATCCTTAATTACCGCTCTCTGTTTCAGCTGAACGGAATCAACACGCAAGGCGAGAACATAGCGGACAACGGCGGTATCAAGCAGGCGTACTACGCGTACAACCAGTGGACCAAGCGGCACGGACTGGAGCCCCGACTCCCCGGTCTCCAGGATTACACCCCGCAACAGATGTTCTGGATCTCGGCCGCCTCCACATGGTGCTCCAAGTACCGGCCCGAGACCCTCAAACTCCGCATCACGACAGGCTACCACTCGCCCGGCGAGTTCCGAGTCCTCGGCCCACTCTCCAACCTCCCCGAGTTCGCCCGTGACTTCAAGTGCCCGTCCGGCTCCAGGATGAACCCAGTCCAAAAATGCAAAGTCTGGTAGGAGCCACGCCATTCATCTATAAAAGCAGCCTTCTCGTAGGCGCTCGTTTTCTCTCACTCGAGTCTGTGACGTGTGTGATATTTTCCATAACATCGAATATTGTGAACAAACGAGAATCGTAGATCGTCGCACGTCATCTTCTTGCCGCACGATACGCCAAAATTAAAATTAGCCAGGCGAGTGAGTGGACTATGATCACGTCCTTAATTCCATTGAGTTAGGTGAACGAATGCTAACAGTGTGTTTATTCATGCCACAATATATCACTCGCATGAGGCATGACCGTAGGTTGCTTCTATGTTCACCGTATTATTGGATTGGGTTAGCAAGTGCGAGTAATTGCGGGTGGTCATTGGGGTGTATCGCGTGTGCAACATTCTACATGCTGGGCTAGTGAGTTAGTAGGGGCACTATCTCCCGCCTCATCAGCTCCAGTGAAGAAATCAAAATTGGCGGTATTTCTAGTGCATCACATGCCGAAAATCATTCTCACTAGACGGGTGGGCGAGTTGAGATAATATCTCTTACATCACCGGTTGTGGTGAAAATTTGCATTTCAAAAATTATGCGATGGATGTGACGGAGTAACTCCCTCCGAATTTAAGGGGTGATCTGTTCAGCTGTCAGAACCAAAGAGTATATTCTCAGAAAAATCCAGCCTCAGTCAACTTTGAACCATAAAAAAGTAAGCTAAAGGTAGAAAAAGAAACGAAACAAAATATTTTACTATCATGACAACCAAAAGACGACGAACTCAGTCTAATTAAATTATATTTTTCTCAATTGATTCTGTCAGATTTTCTTTTTCTTTTTCAATAGATAAAAGTTGTAGGTTCCTGTTTTCTCTGTAATTCAAATGAAAAATGTAATGTTTATAATGCTATTTTTGGAATGAAATACTCATTATTTAGCGTCGGTGGAAAATTACTTATAAAAGGTCTCCAATTGATTTTATAGTCTCAAAATTTAAAGGTCTATGAAATCTGCAAATTTAATTTTTTTTTTTTTTTGTGGGGGGAGGGAAGGGGCTTCCTCTTGTGGCGATTCTTGAATTTTGGAAACACAGGACTTCATCCAATTTTATATGGAGTGATTGATATCTATCTATTCTCGATGAATCATGCTGCTTCATCAAGAATCGATTATTGTTTATTGTAGTTAAGTTGTGGAAAAATAGCGTTGCCAACTTGCTAGAATCGTCCCTGGCTCCTTCCGCAGAATAGTGTTTCTGTAAAAGCCATTTTGAGGGAAATATCTTATTTCGAAATTTTGAGCTCCTCGTTTTTTAATTTTTATGAATTTTATGATCGAAGGACGTCTCTCGGATTGCAAACATATTGTTTCTTTCTATAAATCCAACAAGAGGACAATCAATTATTTTGCCGTTAGAAAATTTTACTTTGTGACTTTCCATTTGAAAAAAAACTTTGAAATGTGAGGGATGGAAAAGTTTAAAACAATCTAAGTTATAAGTTTCAATATTTTCACGAGAATAATTTGTGTGTTTTTATATGTACATGTATTTTTTTAAGATTTTTTTTATTCCAAAGAAGTTGAACCGTTTTTGAATGAATAAATGTTTTAAAATTATTGGATCTCATGTTTAGGGAATTCAATATCGTGGAAGAATCCCTCTTCTTTCCTGAGGGAAGATGGTACATCAGCGAAAAATTGTTAATGAGGCATATGAACTTGCATTACAAAGAGGGAAAAATTCTATTGTAACTAAGATTTGAGATTTGTTTAATGCGTAAATGTATTCGATAAAAATTGGAAAAATAGTATCTTTCTGCAATTTTGTACATAACTTATCTGTCAAGCCATGAACCTGATGAATCGCCAGGAAAACGATTGTTACAATGCTATTGTAAATATTAATTCACATGAATCTAATCTCGTTTCCTCGGCGCTGTTCATGGGGTCAAAAACACAAATATGAAATACTCCCGCATAGATATCCATGACTCTTATTTTCTTTGATTCATTATGCGAAGGTATATTTGCTTGTGCAAAAGATGAAAGAAGTGTAACAAAATTCACTACAGATTAAGTGATGTCCTCAGTCTGACATTGATACTAAATGTTTTTGTAATCATGGTGAACATAACAAGATCGTCACCAGCATCACAATAGTTCGTACATTTTCTTTTAATCAATTGATACACAGCGATCGTGAGAAATGCAACCATACAACAGTTTCGTCATTATCAAAAACAGCATGCACGCCACCTGCACTATATGTGGACATGTTTGTAGAGCGGGATTTGAAATGCGCCGAGTTCAGCAGAATGGAACCCAGCCATGTAGATCAAGATCAGAGAACAGAGAAAGATAGATTTAAATTTGTATAATCCATAAGACTCAATGTACTTCAGAGAATTTTAGTGCCAATAATTTTCACTTTCAAAATATTTTTTCTCAATATTGAATTCTTGACAGGAGAAAATGCATCGCTAGTTCAGCTCGAAACCAGTTCTGGCTCATTTTTTTCAGAACGGCCCTTCATTTGTCTCTGTTGAATTCGGTTCATTTCCCCATTGGTGCTGGTCGTGCATTGCACCTCTCTCAGTATTAATAAAAATGCGCAACGCAGTTTCTTCTTAGTGCTATTTTTAGTGTGCATAGCGTTTACCTATTTTACGCCCGGATTTTTAACCTTGATTTCTAATCTCAGAACGGAAATAAGTACAAATTTCCAGTCTGCTTAGTATTCTTTATGTTTGCATATTAGATGTCGAACAAATGTGTGTTATAAGAGATATTTTTTTAGATTGCATAGGCGGTCCAGAAAATATGCATGACCATTCAGCGATGGGCCAGAAAGGGGTTAGAGTAGACATCTTCTATCAATCTTCAACCCTAAAATGACATTTTAGAACATATTAATTTACACGCATCATTAATTTCGGTCCGAAAGCATGTTTTTCGCTTTTTCTGTTAGGCAAGAAGTTAATTTCAATTTCTATGTATCAATTTTAAATGCCATCCTTTTTAAAAATTGTATCAATAAAATATTTTATCTCGGCCCTTCATTTCAGCATGACTGTCATCAGCTTTTTTCTAGGACCGCCTATGATAGAATACAGCAAGGAGCGGAACATTTGTTGAACACTCTTCTGTGCGTTTAAATTTTTACATTTGTTGTTAGATCAGTTTCTCATCAGAACTAGACAATAAATTTAAGGCTTATACTTTAAATTTATTCGGAACCACCTCATGGTATCTGTATATATTTCCGCGGGGAAAAATAAAACCATGGATCTTCCAGCTTCTTAGGCTGAAAGAAACCGGAGGATTCAGGATGTTGGTTTTTGGTAAATGACATTTCCTCAACATCTATTGAAATTTTAACTTTTATCACATGAACGAGGCTCCTCAATAGCTGTGTGGTGAGATTCTAAAGACCTGTATATACACAAATCAAGAATGATGCACCGCACAGAAAATTTTGTCCTGCATTCTCTTGTATCACCAGTGATTTTGGTGATGTCACCGATGATACATTTATCAACACGATACAAGTTTCGGTTGTTGCATGCAGTGATGCGAGAAATAGAAAATAAATTGGGGGAGGGGGGACAAAAGGGATAAGTACAAGATATTTTGATGATATTTACTTCTCATTTCACCGGCGTAGTGTTGGAGTCAAACTTATTGTATTTTATTTTACCTCGTAAATTGAATGTGGAATGTTTTTGATGATCTGCTTTTACTTAAACATGTGATAAATTTTGTAATTTTTAATAAGTATATATTTAAATTATCTATTCAAACAACTCTTCTTTTATTTTAAAATTAATTGCACCTTTATTCTCTAAATGTTACGAATCGATGGCCGAAGTGCGAATAAACCACCCATATCCATTGCGATGTTTCAAAATATCTGCTCCTATTTTATTTTTTTCGAACAAAAAGGAGCTGTACGCCTTAAAATTTATTCAGAATATTTTGCTATCATAGAAGAAAAACCGAGGAGGTTCTCAAGAAATTACGGTTAATAGTTATCCGAGGAAAAATTAAGTATTACACGGAAAAAACAAGACTAGTGTTGAGCACTACTGGCCGTTTAGTGGGGAGTAGTTGAGGGCTGGCGTCTAAGCGCTGTACAGCTCAAGACCGGAAGGCAGTACAGGTGGGCACTGAACATGAGTAGTGCTAATCAGATGCCGCGAGACGTAGTTGCGCTTAACAGGTGTAAATTCACCCATGGAACGTCGGAGGCACCATAGCCTGGTGGTAACGCGCTGGTCTTCCACCGGCGCAACTCGAGTTCGATCTCAGGCGGAGGCGTTTCATATTTTACGCTCGCTCCGAAGTCACTTTAGGGCTTGACACTACTTCTTCCTTAGTGACCCAGCCTCGAGCTGTTTAGTGCCCAGCACTCCTCTGACTTGCTGGCTCCATTTGATCTAACCCTCGTTAGTGCCCAGCACTAACATGTAGGTCTCAACCCTAAGCTCGTTTTTTCCGTGTACAGAAGGTTTTGAACCTGAAGGGTTTGAAATTTTATCAAACAGAAAAGTACTATATTATCTCAAAATATCAATCACACAAATGTATGGTTGAATAAAATAATAGGGAGCAGTAGCTAAAAATCTATACAGTCTTCAAGAAATACAAACGTATTAAAAAGGTTGGTTATCACCTTGATGAACATGCGCTATGGATCCGCGGGGTATTATTTTTGTTTTTGAAAGTTCGGTAGAAGAGCACCATTTACCGACCCATACATTTTTTTGTCTGTGACATCACAAAAAAAAAACAAAAAAAACATGCGTGCTGTTTGCGACCCACGGCTAGCGGGAAACAAAATATTTTAAGGAGTCAAAAACCGTCCGCGAGATCCCAACGACCAAATAGTTGTGAGTGGATTAGGTCAAATTTTATTTGAGGAGTTAAAAATCGCAATATCCAGATTGGTTCCCTAGAATTCCACTGGTGTACAGAAGTAGCATACGATGGAATTGAAAATAGATGGGGCGATTGATAAGGAACGCCAATAAAATATAACAAATCATGCCACCATTAAGAATCGTTCATGAAATGCGTAACGCTCTTGGGCAGCCAAGAAGAGCATTACGCCATTTTGTTTTTACGCTCTGAAGGATTGAAACTTACGTCACAAAAGCGTCGGGGGGGGGGGGTCGAAAAATCCGGAACTAAGCATTCTTTTTTACGAATGAACCCTCATAGCAAAAATTATGTGTGTCTAACTTTTCTAGCCTTGCGTTTAAGTCTCCAGAGGAGCGCTAACAGCGTGTAGCCTTTTGCCTCCTTGGCGAACCAAATTTTTCGCTCTTATAAATGAATTCGTCCAGGCTCAAGGTTCAACTCGTCAAACCGATGGACTCATATGCATGATACATTTTTTCAACCCCGGGGCCGGGGCTCTAACAAAATCACAATCGGATTGAAGCGCGCTGACATTAGCGCTTGTAATTGCATCCCATGCAAAGCGCCGGATCATTTCTACTTCCGAATAAATAATTTCTAGCTACGAAGTTGGCTTGTTTCTCTACAACAAAATAAAGTAGGAGCGGAAATTTTGAGACATTACATTGGAAACGCGTGGTTATGGATACCATGCCTTCGATAAGAACAGATGCATGGCAGGATTGGCAGGGTCCATGTCACAACATCAGAGATAGTTTCTTTTCAGTGGCGAGGCATTGATGCTCAATTATCGTTATTTCTCCATTTGAAGCTATGGTAGAGAATCGGTTATTGAGGTGTTCGTTGCAAAAAGCCTGTTTGTCGATCCTTTTCCATAGGTTTGAATAGCAGATCAACCGATGTGTCGGAAAGCACGCCACGCTTCTGTTCATTTTGATTTAAGTATGTCCATTCATCATATGACGAAGAAAATTACTAGATATATCAGGGTAAGGGAAATATGTAGAAAAAATTAACACAATTTTTAAAAAAAAATACATGCTTCAACATAAATAAAAATATTTAATATTCTTTAAAAATGCAGATATTTAAGTGTTAAGAGTTTTATGATAGAGGATAGAAAAAGATAATTTAATAAAAGATAGTTCGTTTAAAAAACAGGAAAAAAAACATCAACTATAATGTGGCCTGAATCACAGTGTCCCATACACTCTTCACAATAAGTTGCGATTTGATCGGAGGACGTATCGCGATTTTACTGATGTCGATTTATTGCAATATTATCGAGCAAAAAATTGCGCTTCAATCACATAAACGTGCAATAAAATCGCGATTTCATTGACGGTAATTTATCGCAATATTTTCCAACAAAAAATTGTAATAAATTGAGAAAGAATATCTATTTTATCGAATGCAATTTTATGAAGATAAAGTTGCTACAAGATTGAAGATCATCACTCGAATGTTGATGGTTCTAGCGATTTTATCACCAAAAAATCGTAAAAAAAATCGCAAATTAATTTCCAAATATCGCATTTTCGTTGAAAAATGCTAGGTACTGGGAAGAGGAACCCGCACCAGCAAACCGGGAGACCATCATTGGCGGATCCTTCAAATCGGGAACATTGTTTTCCTCTATTTAAATCAATGGGAATATATCGATTCTTGGAGGTGCCAGCTGCTCCGACAAGAATCGATCATTTAACATAGGTTTAAATGGAGGAAATCCGGTGTTGCCAATTTGCTGGATCCGCCTGTGGAGACCATCACCCCGGTCGCTGGTTTTAAAGTATTATGACTTCTTATTTTGAGGGATTCTCAAGTGGGTAACTCCTCATGAAGTTATGATGCATTATGCCAAATTTCAACATAACTCCAAAAAATGTATGAATTTTTCCTGAAGCGTGTTTTTTCCTCACGTCGTTTTTCTAGTGCTATTTTGCATTCTGCGCGTTGCTTGCCGCAGAATCCATTCATTATTGAAATCTCTGAAAATCAGATGACCATACATTTCCTTTTTTACCTGTTGAAATCTTAATTGAACTCGTAAAAAGAACTATTACCAAATCTTCCAAAGAATATGGTATGAAAATAATACTGAAGTTAAACGTTTTTTGAGGTGTGCTTTTGGTGCAAGTAAGGCGTAAGGCGTGCTTTTGGTGAATTATGGTAATATTGAACTCATCGCTGCCTTATTCGATTTTTTATGGAGTAATTCTCAACTTACCCGAATTGAGTCCTTGCACGTGAAACGCATCATCGCAGGGAAGTTTTTCTTACTTATTCCTCTGCACGGAAAAAACAAGATTAGTGAGCACTACTGGCCGTTTTTAGTGGTGAGCAGTTGAGGGCTGGCGTCTAAGCGCTGTACAGCTCAACACAGGTAGGCAGTAGAGGTCGGCACTGAACATCAGTAGTGCCAATCAGATGCCGCGAGACGCACGGAAAAAACGAGTTTAGGGTTGGGACCTACACGTTAGTGCTGGGCACTAACGAGGGTTAGGTCAAATGGAGCCACCTAGTCCGAGTAGTGCTGGACACTAAACAGTTCGAGGCTGGGTCACTAAGGAATACAGTGATTTTGGCGAGCGTAAAATATGAAATGCCTCGACTTGGGATAGAACCTGGACTGCTCTAATGGTAGACCATTTTTATTTCCAGTGTGCTCTTCAGGATATCCGGCAGCTAGTGCCAGAATGCGTCAGCAGGTAATGTTAATCATGTGTCCAGAAGCTTCAGCATAGACTTTGGCTGACTCTATCAGGAATTTAGCATTTCCTACAAGATTTCCTAGAGATCATGTAGCAACCCGCACTTTTTGAGTCACTAGTTTTTTTTATGTATTCGCCAGCGGAATTATCGTGTCATTATGAGCTAAATCAAAGTCAATCACAAACCGCTGCACACGGAAAAAACGAGTTTAGGGCTGGTACCTGCGGTTACAGGACTTTTGGTCCAATTTTTTTTGTCCATAAATTTTTTCGTCCAATTTATTTTGTCCACGACTTTTTGTCCTTGAAATCTGGTCCAAGTTAAATTCGTCCTGGTAAATAGTTAGTCCTACGCATTTGTTCGTCCAGTGGTATTAGGTCACATTTCTGTGGTCCAGTAAGGTAAAAAAGTTATGTCCAAAACTCACGTCCAATGAGGCCGTTTCAGCTATTTCCTTTCAGCTTTCAGCTACTTTCAGTCATCGTCTGAGTCTTCTTCGTCCGAGTCCGGTGGATCTGCGCGTGGC